GGTTTCGCCCACCCAAAATACGCCTGCACTGCAGGCTGCTTGAGAAATAAATCGTGTCTCAAAATCCGTTCAAGTGGTGAATATAAAAAATGCTTGTTTCTCGAAACTGAAGACTCAATGTTTGCGTTTTAAAACTCAATTTGTTGTAGTTAATTAAAACTAGGTTTAGGTACACTGGCTGTAGGGGTCTGTTCTTGAAATACAATAAAGCAAATAATATCTCTAGTACAGAAAAAAAGGGGATTGGCCCTTGAATGTTAGTTGATCCTTTACTTCTGTATGCTACTATTTATGCCCATGAGTTTGATAAATAATAAATTTAAAGATCATCGATCAACAGATTAGTGCATTGTCTGTCGTGAGCTAGAAGTGTGACACATCAATAAAGTTACTGTCTTTTTTAATGGGCCCCTATAAATGTAGCTTCTTATTTGAGGAGCATGAAGGGCTCCCAAAAATTCTCTTAGCCACCAGCCTTGCTTTAAGGTTAGTGCAAATGTTACCGCTAGTTATAGCAGTTCTAAATTTGATTTTGGTTTGAGATAAATGCATTTCAAACTGGCAAAACCAGTGGTTCCGTAGCTGACTGTGTCCCTTAATTTAATCTATATATTAAGGACAAAAATCAGTTTTTTAAAAAATTGATTATTAGTTATTCTTTTTAAGTGTGACTTGAAATCATATTCATTATTTTAGCTAATATATGCGCCCCTCTTTCTTGGAAAAATGGCCTCCTACAGAATAACAACAAGCATGGCCACTGGACTCTTACCAAGAGTCAACCTCGTTCCCAGGGTCTCTCATCTTCTCGCCCAAGCGAGAGAGGAGAGACCCTGGTTCTCCTCTCTCGCTTGGGCAGGAAGATGAGAGACCCTGGTTCTCCTCTCTCGCTTGGGCAGGAAGATGAGAGACCCTGGGAACAAGGTTGACCAAGAGTAAGAGAATAAGCCAATTCCTAGAATAAACCCTGTTACTCTTTAGACCAAATAAATGAGTCATAGATGCGATAACCCTTTAAGCTTCAAGATCAACATGGAAATTCTCCACACTGGCCTCCATACAATTTTTGAAAAATTGGTTGAGAGAATTTGTTTAAAGATCAAAGCATATTTCCTTGAAGTGATCATTTTATTAATTCTCATAACCTTTCTACTTGATTATATACTGATGTTGTGTGAGGCAAAAATTGATGTTGATCACTCCTGGGACTTAAAGGGATAAATAAATTGTGACTGTAACACTTCATGTGGACTGATCTTGTATGGAAGTTGTGATTTATTTTTGATCTTCCAATTTCATGTGCTTGAGTGTTTCCGCTTTGCATTCCAGTGTTATTATGAAGAATCAATTAATCAACCCTTTAGGTGATCATTTCAAGAAATGATATTAAGAAATCCCCAAGCGCTTTACATTTTGAGAAATTTGGAAAAGTTGGAAAAATTCCATAAAATACATTTTTTAATTCGTGAAATTGCTGCAAATTTCAACAATTTTTAGGGAAGCAGTACAAGCGTGCAACAGCTCCTATTGACTTGATGTTGCACATGCAGTTACCAGTTACCCAAAGCCTTAAGACTGCATAAAAGTGTCTCGCAAAATAACTTTTGTAATACAGTTTTGGGCTTTTATTGCTTGCACCTTGATTGTGTGTTGTTTTGGTGGTCAAAATAACGCCCGACTTTAACCGCAAAAAGTCAATCCTGGTATGTCTCAAATTTAAAATAATATGATTATACTACATGAAAGAGCTGTGATTCTTTTAAGTAGATCTGAAGTTTTAAATATAACGACTCGGGCCACCGTAAGCGACAAGAACGTGAAATGTAAACAAAGCGAAAACCGTGTAAACAAAGGAGAAAATAACACCAAAGTTATTTCTAGTCCACCAAAGCGTAAAGAAATGATGAAAATTTCGGTATCTAAATAGGTATTGCTATCTGAAAAACTAAAAAGGCGAAATTGTCTGTCGAAAAATATAAAAAGAAAAAAATATATCCTGAAAAACGAGCAACTGAGAATCGCGTCGGATGACCATTTAATTCTGCACTCAGAAGTAAAATTGCTTCGAGATGGTCAAGTCCAAAAGGCTTCAAGAACTGTTTTCGAAATGCCCCAATAAACTATCGATGAACTATGCCAGATGATAGATTTACTTTAGTAAAAATGAACATAACAGGAAGTCGGAATCATGATTACAAATGACACTTCTACAAAATGAGTTTTAAATGCAGGTCGTGGATTTTTCAAAGTTACCTTTCAGTGTCCATTTTTTCCTCATGATGTAAGGCTCTGCATCTCACCTTCATAACATGACTTGAAAACTAGCAAATAACTGAAGGTTCAATATTCCGCATATTTGTTAAAAGGTTGCAGCCTACAGTTGGTTCCCAAATGAGACCTGTAACTTGGTGTCATGTTATGTGTATGATAATTTGAATAAATTACCCTGGAGCCCCTTCACGCAAACTTCCACAGGGTATAAATGACACATGCTATCATCTTTAGCTCCAGCAAAGTCGAATGTAATGTAAAGCGCTTAGAGATTTCTTAATGTCATTTCTTGAAATAGATCACCTGAATGGTTGTTTGGGTGGTATAAGCCAAAATTCAAATTTTTAGAACTGATTTGATTTTCTCGATATTTTCCGCCATTGGCTCTTAAGGTGGCTCCGTAATTAATATGGGCGCATTTAGCTGTGACGAAGGTTTCGTCATAGCTTTTTTGTTTTTGATGCGATGGTTGAGAAACTTTGCAAAGAACAACAGATATCATCCAGCAATAGAACGAAATATTCCGATTTCATTGATGGTAAATATATTTTGCTAAATTAGGGCTTAAAAGGACCCTTCTGTTCAAAGAAAATCGCGTCTAGTAAAAAAAATTGCTGATGTTTTTTACCGAAATTTCTGGTATCGGCTTTAATTGATATAATAAATATGCCAGAGGAATTTCAGAAAAATCATTGGAGCAGAAGTCCGTAACTAAAAGTCGCTCAAAATTCAGCTGTGAAATTGTTTTGGAATTTCAAAAATAAATTACTATCAGGTAGAAGGAACCACCAGTTTGAATTTTCGGGACAAGTAAATTCAATGTTTGCTAATTCTGAAAACAAAAGCCAATTGCCTAAAGTGCTATTCTTTAAAAGGTATTTTTTACTTTGAGAAGCACTATAAATTGCTCCAAACCTAGCTCTGAAGTTTAATGACTTGTTCCTTAAAATATCCCTTGGCAGTTTTTGCTCAAACTCCTGCTGCATATATTTTGATGTATTGCAATGCATTTTCAACGACTTTTACTGCTGTTCATTGCTTCCAACTCAGGAAAAAGGTATTGAGATTGGACGCTACCTCGTATCAGATCTCAGATAGAACTGTCCAGCACGTTTGTTTATGACTACAAAATGAGCACAAGTGGCAGTTCTACGAAGAATTCACACCTCACCCAGGGGGGATGAACGACAATGATGCCCATGCCTGTGAACAGAATTACATCACAGTGCAAAACAAAAATTATTGCAAAAATAATACCAGTGAATAAATTTACGACTCTGAAATTTCTGTTACTCCTTCTGTCAATGAATGGGTAGTTTTTTCTTGATTATTATGTTTTGCTCTGCAATAGATGTTTATACAGATTGGTTTGCAGACATGGGCACTATTGTCATTCATCCCCCCTAGCTGAGGTGCGAATTCCTTGCAGAGCTGCCGCTTGTGGGCATTTTCTGGTCAAAAACAAAGGTGCTGGACAGTTCTATCTGAGCTTCGATACAAGGTAGCTTACAATCCCAATACCTTTTTCCTCAATTGGAAGCAACGTTCAGCAGAAAAAGCCCTTGAGGATGCATTGCAATACAACAAAATGTATGTAGCAGGAGTTTGAACCAAAACTGCCAAGAGATATTCTAAAAATGTTGAAGAACAACTCATTCGACGTCAGAGCAGGGTTTGGAGCAATTTATAGTGTTTCTAAAACTAAAAAGTACCTTTTAAAGAATAGCATGATAGGGTATCAGCTTTTGTTTTCATTTTTAGCAAACATTGAATTTAGTTGTCCAGAAAATTCGAACTTGAGGCTCCTTCTACCTGATAATCATTTATTTTTGAAATTCCCAAATAATTTCACAGCTGAATTTTGAGCGACTTTACTGACTTCTGCTGCAACAATTTTTCTGAAATTTCTCCGACATATTTATTATGTCAATGAACGACGATACCAGAAATTACAGTAAAAAATATCAGCAAAATTTTTTACTAGCCACGATTTTCTTTGAACACTAGGGTCCTTTTAAGCACTAATTTCTCAAAAAATATTTACCATCAATGAAACCGGAATATTTCGTACTATTGCCGAATGATATCTGTTGTTCTTTGCAAAGTTTCGCAGCCATCGCTCTAAAAACAAAAAAGTTATGATGGAAAATTGTCACAGCTAAATGCTCCAATATTAATGACGAAGCCACCTTAACTAACCTTCCCCGTCTCTATATAATCTTCTCCCTCTGTTAATCTCCACTATTAAACATGCTTGAAATGACAATGCCTCCAGGGAGCTTAATAGCGGATTTATAGTAATACAGGTTTCACTATATTGTCTGTATGAATGCTGTATGATGAACCTTAATTACCATTATTTTAAAAGTGTGTTATTTTAAAAACCACAAGGAACTGTCAGATCCAAATACAAAGTCAACAAATAATCAACTGACCCATATTGATGGGTTCTCTAGTTTGAAGGGTTCGTGTAAAATTTTAGGTATGTAATCAGCTGGTTTATGGTGTGGAACCACTTTTTCTTGAGCAGGTGTCTTAAACGTTTTCTAATTTTCTACATGTCCCTGACAACACCACCTTTAACTACTCCCTTCAGGTCTCTCGCCACCAGGGCGCAAAGTTTATGCTGGTGGCAACAAAACAAATAATGTGCTGCATTTAACTAATAATGCTTCTTCTTCCTTCCAAAGGTATCCTAACTGTAAAACCTTTAAAGAAGAGCAACCTCAATGTCCTTTAAGTGTCAGCAGTGTGGAAGGTGTTTCAGCGAAGCAGGAAGCCTAAGGACTCATGAAAGAGTTCACACTGGGGAAAAGCCTTATGAATGTAAACAGTGTGGAAAGTGTTTTAGCGTACCAGGAAAGCTAAGGACTCATGAAAGAGTTCACACTAGGAAAAAGCCTTATGAATGTAAACAGTGTGGCAAGTGTTTTAACCGAGCAGGAAACCTAAGGAATCATGAAAGAGTTCACACTGGGGAAAAGCCATATGAATGTAAGCAGTGTGGTAAGTGTTTTAGTGTAGCAGGACACCTAAGAACTCATGAAAGAGTTCACACTGGGGAAAAGCCTTATGAATGTAAACAGTGTGGAAAGTGTTTTAGTGTAACAGTTGCTCTAAGGAATCATGAAAGAGTTCACACTGGGGAAAAGCCATATGAATGTAAACAGTGTGGCAAGTGTTTTAGTCAGGTAGGAAACCTAAAGTGTCATGAAAGAGTTCACACTGGGGAGAAGCCTTACGAATGTAAGCAGTGTGGCAAGTGTTTTAGTGTAGCAGGACACCTAAGGGCGCATGAAAGAGTTCACACTGGGGAAAAGCCTTACGAATGTAAACAGTGTGGCAAGTGTTTTACTGAGGCAGGAGGCCTAAGGAGACATAAAAGAGTTCACACTGGGGAAAAGCCTTTTGAATGTAAACAGTGTGGCAAGTGTTTTAGTGAAGCAGGACACCTAAGGACTCATGAAAGAGTTCACACTGGGGAAAAGCCTTATGAATGTAAACAGTGTGGAAAGTGTTTTAGCGTAGCAGTTGCCCTAAGGAATCATGAAAGAGTTCACACTGGGGAAAAGCCTTATGAATGTAAACAGTGTGGCAAGTGTTTTAGTCAGGTAGGACAACTAAAGCGTCATGAAAGAGTTCACACTGGGGAAAAGCCTTACGAATGTAAGCAGTGTGGCAAGTGTTTCAGTGTAGCAGGACACCTAAGGGCTCATGAAAGAGTTCACACGGGGGAAAAGCCTTACGAATGTAAACAGTGTGGCAAGTGTTTTAGTGAAGCAGGGGGCCTAAGGAGACATAAAAGAGTTCACACTGGGGAAAAGCCTTATGAATGTAAACAGTGTGGCAAGTGTTTTTGTGAAGCAAGAAGCCTAAGGACTCATGAAAGAGTTCACACTGGGGAAAAACCTTACGAATGTAAGCAGTGTGGCAAGTGTTTTAGTGAAGCAGGAAGGCTAAGGAGACATGAAATAGTTCACACTGGGGAAAAGCGTTTTGAATGTAAACAGTGTGGCAAGTGTTTTAGCAAAGCAGGAAGCCTAAGGATACATGAAAGAGTTCACACTGGGGAAAAGCCTTATGAATGTAAACAGTGTGGCAAGTGTTTTAGCCGATCAGGAAGCCTAAGGATTCACGAAAGAGTTCACACTGGTGAAAAGCCTTACGAATGTAAACAGTGTGGCAAGTGTTTTAACCAAGCAGGAAACCTGAGGAGTCATGAAAGATTCCACACTCAGGCAAGGTCACTTAAATTTTCCCAGAAAAACAAACGTCTTTCCAAACGATTGGAATCCTGTAAACGGAAGAGAGCAGGAAGTGAAAACATTGATGTCAGGGCCACAGGCTTTACAGAGAACCAGCAGACACAGAGAGAAACCGGAAACACTGGTGTAACAGATGCACGATCGGTCATTATTGAGAAACACAGCTGTTGGATTTGTCAAGAGGAGATGAGTAGTGAGGCTCTTCTTCTTCAACATTATGAAAATCATATGATCCAAGTTTGTGACGATTATTCTTGAAGTTAAAAAAACGTTGTGGTTCTTTTAAGTTCTTCTCTTTTGTTTGTTTTTTCGGTGCTTTGACAACATTTTTATTTTTGCAGCTCTTAAAGTTTCAATTGGTTTGTTTATGTTGCTTTCATACTTGGGGTTCTTTTGATGTGTATGATTATCAAGTTGGAATTGTTGGTTTTCACATGACGTCACTAAAATTCAAACTAAAAAACTATCGATCCTAGCGAGATTTTACTTTCACGGTGCATTAGAGCAGCTGAAAACTAATTTTCATACAAATTTTCGCTTCAAAAGGGTTCTTGGTTTTGTGATAGAGTATTCTTGACTTTCTAGGTTTTTGCCTGACGCGGCATTTACATGACGGCCAACAGAGCTGTCATGTAGGTTAAAAAAAATGACTTATTTCAGGAAATTTTGCTATCTAAACAGTTCAAGTGTTAGAAAAATTATTACTTTAATGTTAATGAGTTTTTCGAAGAATAAATTCACGCTTTTGTAGCAAAACTCGGTAACAGATGTTTCTGTTGGTTTCCGTCCGCCATGTTGGAGCTCATCCAGGTAAGCACCAGCATGGCGTCTCCATACAAATCTCTATAAGTTTGGGTAAAACATTTCTTAGGATATCTCGTATACGAAATATTCCTCTGACCTGAATCTTAGCGAGGGTCTTTGTATATGTACCTCCTTTCATTTCCCAGATTCTGGACTTTATCTATTGAACGGTTTTGTTTTTTATTTTGATCTATTTTGAATGGCGTGACACTGAAAACCAGTAATAAACGATGAAGGGACAACTTCTGTACCAATTCTTCCATAAAGGAAAAACTCGATTTAAAGATTTAAAGTCTTAGTGCCTGTTAGTTTAGTCTGCTACAGAGCCGTTTTTAGTGTCGTCACGTAACGGTTTGTGGGAGAAGCGTTGCGTGACGAGACTAAAACCAGCTGTGTAGCAGACTACTCTCAATTTAAGCGTGACATTTGTACGTGACCACTTATAGAAGACTATAACTTCTCATGATGTGAATGGTGAGAGACTTTTTTCTTACAATGTAAAAAAGGCTTTCTTACTTTCATCCGTATTCTACGGTCTTGTTTCTCATAGCCGTGGTTTCTGGAACTCTCCAGTTATCATAATAGCTGTTGTCCCTAATAAAGAATCGCAATCACCTATTTTAAAATGCCTTTGGAGAAAATTTATTGGTGTTAAAAGGCCCTGTGTATTCCGTCTGACTGTATAAAGTGCCCCATTCCAGTAAGTTGCTTGATGCTACCACAACTTTATGGTCAACTTAATAATTCCAAGAAAATAAAACCAAGTCAATGGTGGTTCAAATTCGATTTTTAATGCCTTTGATCTCTTGGCGAGTTCTGTTAGTCCTTGTCTGGTAACCACTCTGGCTGAGATCAAATCCACTTCACACCAATTTATCTGTTATAAACAACGAAAATTAAACTTTTCAAGCCAAATTGGAACTGTTTTTCTGATTATTTAGACATTCGCAGCGACGGAGATTTTTTGTTACACCATACAGCGCATGCCGTGTAAGGGACGCTATCGTATTTCTGTCGTTTAAGCGTTTTCTTGTGGACAGGCGAAGACGATTGAAACACGTTACAGTTTTGGGTTGCGTTCCTTTTGACCAATCTAAATCCAGATTTTGCGATCCGAAATTTGATTTTTAGTTGCATCAAGGAGTAAACCAATCTAAGATTGCAATCTGAACGATCCACCTCTGTACTTTGATCGTTCAGATTGGTATCTCAATCTGGTTTCACATTTTTGTTCCATTTAACGATTTGACGAAACTGCTTTTCGATCGCAAGAACGTGCTCTTTCATCAATAAAGACGTTAGTTCAGGCAACAGTTATTTATACTCCTCCTTTGTTCTATGCCGCTAAAGGATTGTGGTATATTAAACTTAAGTTCCACTGTAACTCTAAATCCGTATGGAAGCGAAAACGCTTGGATTTTCTCACCGATTTAAAGTTCTCCAATGTGTGTGTGTTTAGAGCCCATTGGGGGGCGGGGACGGTACTCCGGAGTTTAAGTGACAGCGATGATCAAATGGGGAAAAAATCAAACCCCCAAAAAATTTATAGGGCTTCAAACAAAACCCAAAGAACTCCCTGGGCCAAAATTTAACCCGCAAAAAAATCCCGTGCCGAGCCATAAAAATTTCCAGGAAGCGTTAAATGATATAACAATCATAAATCTTTAGATAGTTTTGAATACCCAAAACAATCTCTACGTAAATCAAACCATAGGCATACGGGTCGGGGGCGCGAGGGGGGCTGCAGCCTCCCCAAATTTTGGGTAACTCAGATTTTTTGGGCAGCTAGGGAAAATTTGGGCAAAGCCAGCTTTTAAAGATGTTTTCATGTTTTTTTATTAGTATTTTGAAGAGATAAATATTTTCTATTTTAACCTGAAGTCGGCGTAATAATCAGGTTACATTCACACGAGACAGTGGTTGCCAAGCACGTGATGAGTTTCTGGTTATAAGGGAAGGGTTTTTTTTATCGTTGGGCGCTGTACTGCAATGGGCTGTTTCCAATCGTGAATTGATTAGAATAACAGGCTTCCGCCTAACTTTCTAGAATCATCTTCGCTCGTAGAACAGAGTGTGGCAGATAGCATCAGCAGTTGATCTGAAAGTGAAGAAGTGGCTGACTAATTCTCTCTCTGAATTACGAGAAGAATCTTAATTTTTTTAAACAAATCTATCAAGTGGTTCAAATTATTCACTAATTTGTTAAAGTAGACCGAAATGTTTACAAAACCGCTAACAAGAGCGAAATGATACATACTAATGAAATCCTTCTTTGTAGCAATTGACCAGAAGTATCTCTAAAATAACTCACACACATTTTCAAAAAGATTGAAGCTACTATGAGGTGAAATTGTATGTCAAAAGCGCGTTCGTTTTCTTCAGATAACGGCTAAACATCAAGTTTTTCCTTGTTTTACTGTATTTCTAACGATAAAAACTTTATCCCAAGATATCCCGATAACGCTCTTACAGATTCCGTTTTAACTTCACGAACATCGAGGCGACTATTGGAGGAAAAAGCTCCAGCCGAGAACGATTTCATAGTGAGAAATAACGTTGCAACTATAATAGATAATGGCGTCATTACGTTGCTATGACAACTCCGATGTCATTGTAACCCTGATCATGACAAATTTTCATCTTTATCTAATACAACTGTGGTGGCAATTTTTCCAAATGTTTGTTTATGGCAACGTATAGTTTTTACTCCAATTTGGCAGGTATATATTGACCCTGAAAAACTGTATTGAGGCACTTTCGTATGCCAGTATGGCCTATGTTGTTGCATCGTATGGCCCTTGTTTCTTTTCGACTGTTTTGTAAAAATTTGGGCAACTTGCAAGAATTTTTTGGGCAAATGGTTTACCGCCCCCCCGGGCCGAAAATTGCCCGTACGCCTATGAATCAAACTGCCCAAAAAATAGTTCATATTTTCCTACTTAAACAAATCCCGGAATCGAAAATTTCCCAAAAAATCCTTTGATCATCCCTGTCACTTAAAATCCGGAATACCCCCCATGCTCGCTGGGGTTTAGAGCGCGCTTCTCAGCAGTTGAGAAATTGCAATTGTCTTCTAAATGTTCTTGAATCAAATTCCAGATAATTATGAGTTGACAAGTGGTAATGGCATGAACCACCACTAATTAAACAGCAACGTTTCTTTCCATTTTTCTACTAAGAGAAGACGCTGAGTTTAGCGGAAATTGTTGAAATTGAGAATAAGATCAGAGCAGCAGGCAGCTGCTGTATCGATCAATCCAGTTCTTTCAAATGTTGTTCCGGCGAGCACGAAAATCCAAACAATCTGGAATTTTTTGGACCCGTACTGTCCGGATATTAGGGTGTGATAACCAAGATTAGACAATTTTGTAATCGTTTTGAAATTTTGATATTAACAATTTTGAAAATAAGCCATAGTTTACGTTAGGTTTATAGAAAGAAAGCTTTGGTTTGCCATGTTTATCACCGCCTCTCGCCGTGTTTTTCTTTTTTCATCAATCTAGTATGATGACCTAAGAAGATTATAGCAAAACAAGTTTTACCAGTTATCTCTGATTCTCCGCATTTTGTAAAATAAAATTAAAAGAATATTTAACCAACAGTTTCTGTTAAGTCTAAACACAAATACACTAAGGGACTTATAAATCAATTCACAATTTAGCCACAGGGAAAAAAAATTAAATTGTACAGATTGGACATAGGATATTGAACAAGTGAATGTGATCATATCCGCTGGAAAAATGGCTAATTCAAGAAAATTAGTTAGCTGAAAAAAGTACAAAAATCCATCGAGATAAAAAAAGCTATAGAAATACCAGCTGAAATTTTTGAAAAATAAATCCATCATCCGAACGTCAAGAGTCTGTCAAGCCAAGCTCGTTAAAGAACTCTTCAGATTTAGTTTCTCTTACATACGCTGGATACTACTTCGTGCGCCTCGTTTTATTTTTTTTAATTCAAGCCTATGTAAGCTGGAATTGGCTGCATTCAGTATCAAACTGAAGTTACTGGAGTCGAAGTAATCCGTCTATGGCCTGCATGGCAGGTCCTTGAAAGGGAAGGGAAAGTGGGTGTTTTGGCGCGGCCCCCTCGCGATTCTTTCGCGCTCAAAACCCCCTTTTCATTCCCTTTCAAACGCCTGCCACGCAGGCTAATCTGTTTATGTTGGCGTATTTTGATGAGGGAGTAGCCATCTGTCTGTGCATGGGCGGTGGCCGATAAACCGTCTTTATTTCTTAGTGTCACGAAAACGACCAATCGGCCATTTATGTCTTGCACTGTACTTGCTCCCGATATTGGTCCCGGCGTAACCATTTGAACTGCCGTTCGGTAATCGAACTTAATCATAATAATAATAATAATAACACTTATATAGCGCTTATCCGCATGCGTTCTAAGCGCTTTACATCCATTGTATTACAGTATGACTTAGAAATATAAAAACAAAAGATTAA